TTTTTTTTTTGTTTTTATCAACATAAAACAAACTTAACTAAAGTTTTGCTATTGAAATGTTACTCAGAAACGACAACGATTGCTATTAACTCCTTACTGTTACCATAAAACATTTGTACATTGGTTCTGTTTGGAATACTTTATAACGACAACATTTACTTTTTTTTTACTACCTGTTTTTCTTTTAAACAAATTAATTAGCGTAAAATTTTAATATCTATTTGTTAAGTCTTTCATTTATAATACATGTTAATTTGTTAAGAGAAAAAAAATTGTCGGCTTAGATAACAGGAGACTGGGAACTAATAATAAAGCAATAAATCACTGTCTATGTAATATTGCATAAAAACCTGTAAAATGGGGTGATATTTAAAAGATAATTTTTTTTTTTTGCATAGAATAAATAGCAAAAATTTTTACGATAGGTGTGTTTTTTTTGTTACTATTTATTTTTGGTCTATTGATCTTTATAAAATACATTATGCTACCGTAGTTTTCTGCTGCTAAAGCAGTTCTGTATTCAAAAAAAAAAATTCTTAAATCTAACAAAAATGACACTCAAATCTGATGCCAAGTGTAAAATAAAAAATTGTAAGAAGTAAACTGAAAACGTGTTTGCAACGATGAACGTGAATAACCAATTTACTTTACATATCCACAATTAGATTAGAGCGTTTTTTTATTGTCAAAAGTGGCTACAACTGTGGCAATTAGTTAAATACAGAATGAAGACAGAAAATACAGAAGTATAAAAAATTAAACGTAGTCAAACTTTGGCTAAAATAATCACTGGAAGATTAAAGATTTTTTCTTCAGACACTATACAGCTTTTAGGAGATTTTTTGGGTTTACTTTCTGATCTTATTTACCGTTTTTCTGGAGAAAGAAAGAACTGTTACAGCGATTTATTTATGGTTAATTAATTTTAAAAAAATGAAATTTTCAGATGACAAAATATCTGAATTTGATGCTAGATAACAGTTTTCAGAAAAAAAATTTTTTTTAATTGTTTAATTTTACTGTAACTAAAAAAATGAGTGAATTTTTCTGCGAATAATTTTTTTCACTATTTTTCGGTATATTTTTGCCAAAATTTTTATTTGCTTTTTTTTTTTTTTTTTTTGAAATTAGGTAAGCTGAAGAGTACAGCGATTAGTGCTGAGAAGTTGTCAAAGGCAGTGTCATTGTCGGAAGAAAAGCCATGAATTTGTAGAAAACTTTTTCATAAAAAGTTGTAGATTCAGAAAGAATCGACGGTTTAACGTTTTTTTTAGCACAAATATCTTTTTTGATTACTGTGTTTGCTGATGTCAGTATTTTGAATAAAACTTTTAAAAAAAGTAATTTGTATTTGCCAGTTAGTAGTCAAATGAATATTTTATTGTACAACAATAAATTTAACTTTCTTTTTTTGAAATTATTTTTGCTGATATTAGAAGACTAGAAACCAATAGTAAAGCAATAAATTGCTACACTGATTTCAAAGATCTGTTTATTGCACCAATTTTCTTTTGTAACTCTTCATTTGTACGTATACCATCTATCAGCCAATGTATTATACAGGAGTTTTTGTTAAAAACTTGTTTTTTTTTTTTTCAAGGCACAATAACTAAAAGAAGAATGTTATTCAAAAGTTTTAATATACATAAAACTGTGAGTTGAAGATTGTAAATGCAAACAAATAGTTGGCTAAACTATATAACCAGCTAACAGTAGTCAGTAAAGACTGCACAGATACAGTATATCGTAACATTTAGTCAACTTGCTTTTCTGCTTATATTTGTCATTAAAAATTCTGATTCATCAAACAGTCTGCAGTGCATACGTCTGCAAAAATGCCTTTGTCTGACATTTGCATAAGAAAAAAAAACAAAAAAAAGTTTTAAAAATATTTCATTTTTTTTCAAGTTCACTTTTAAAGCTTTTTCGCTTTTATTCTTCTATTTCAGCTCAAATTTCAGTTGGTGGTACTCACAAGTAAAATTATTCATAAGATAAGTTAAAAAAAGCTTGCTAGTGAAGCTCAGTTTGTTATACTCTTCTTAGAGTATGCGTGTGTAAGTAAGAACCATTTACAAATATAGGAGAACAAAAACTGTGTTAGGAAAAAAATTGAAATTTTTCTTTTACCTCTGTCTTAAGTAGAATAAAAGTGATTTGAACTCTTTATTTGCCAGAAACAATTTGCCAGATCTATTCCATTTTTTTGTGCTGATCCAAACATGTTTCACATCAAACTACAAACTTTTATAGACTTCATTTAAGGTTAAACAAATAACAAATGCAAATTTTAGTTCAAAGAGCGAAAAAGTTTATTCCAATAAGTGAATTCTTTGTCTGGTTAAATTCATTAGAGTGCAAACAATTCCAGGTTGTTGGCACTCTTTTAACCTATTTGTAGTCACTATAGTGACTATAACTTCTGCACTTAAATGCTCATTATTCCTGATGTTATTTTTTTTTAACTAAAACAGATACATCAAACATAAGTCTTTTTTTGCCACTCTTTGCAGCTTCAATATCGTTTACTTTATTACACTTGCAGTATTTATACCTTTATATATGCAAATAAAATATTGTTGTGAATTAACAAAGAACTATTTTCATATAAAACCAAGTTTGTACACCCCTGTAAGCAAACAACAAAACGATAATCTTCTTTAAAAAATCTTTGATTTATTAAAAACAAGGACACTTTTCAAACTTTTATATTGCAGAAATTTCAGTATACAGAGCAGAAAATTTACTTTTTTAAGTAAATCGAGTTGGCCAGGCTTATTGTTTACCAAAGTTTAGAAAAGTTTTGAGCCAGTGGCTAGAAAAAAAGTGTAGGACCTGATGCGAAGTAAAATTTGCATTGCTTGCTGAAAACGGCGCCGATACTTCAAGAGCATCTTTTTTTTACTAGAATGAACTGCTTTTATATGAAGCCAAAGCTCTGTTTTACATGTGATTTGCAATTGACTATTTGTACTTTCCCAGCAAATTTGCTTGCTTGTTTTTTTTTTTCGAGTGTACTTTGATTAGACAATCGAGAACAAAAAACCCGCTTTAAACAATGACTCTCAAAACAATTCAATTTTTTTTTTCATTTGTTTGCAATTTATTTTTGTTGAGAGTCTGAAACAGATGTAGTACTTTTCAATTTTGGAGATCATATCTTATTTGCATTTTGATCTTCTGCTTCAAAAAATTATAAATTGTTTAATGATCATTTTGAATTCTTATATTAGTAACCCTAAACTACTGGAGCATGTGTAGGATAGACAAAACACGATCAGACACGGTGTGAACAGCTTAGACAGTTTATCTCTTATAAATATTTTTTTCCTTTTTTTTTTTAATTTCTGCAGCCATTGTTAATTAAATCTAAGACGTCAATGCCAAAGTAGAACTGATGATCTTTGGTGGAGAGCTGTATCCAATTTTGGTCTGAGCATAGCTTTTCTTCTGGCGATAAGCAGGTAACATAAGTGTCGCCTTTGTTCATGTCGTTGTCGTACCACACCTAAAAAAAAATAGTGACTTGTTAAGCTACCTCAGAGAAGGTTGTTATTGCTGTCTTTGTAATGTACTAAAATTTTACCTCATAACGATGATGGAAGTATCCCAAGAAATCCTTCGGGGGTATATGTGTCACAATGTCACGACCATGTGTTATCCGGTAATGGTATTTTAACTAAACAGTCACCTTCATAAGCTATTTTTGCGAATAAATAGCGAAAAGTAATGAACAAATCTATATTTATTGTTAACAGAAAGAAAGAACTGCTGAAAATGAAGCTAAAGAAGTATATTTTACCAGATTATCGTGAGCAGCCATAAATTCATGATCGCCAACTCGAGGTTCACCAAATGTGATTAGCTTCATGTTTGAAACAGGAAATGCGTTTGTTGCACCAATGACACTTCCAGCAACTGCAGCCAAAGCTGCACCCATAGAATGTCCGGTAACCTGATCAAAAAATTTTCTATTATTATTCAGCTTGAAACTGTAATTTAATCAGCAAATTTGTTTATGAAATCCATATGTACCCAAAGTTCATATGTTGGATACATTGCCTTCATTCGAACCAACTCATCTTGAACACCTCCTTTCCACAGTGCGTAAAAAGCGTCATTGAAGTATTTAGAAATCTGAAAATGCAATTTTGCTAAATACTCCTCAAAAAGCTGTTGATATAATTTTTAATAATTTAGTAATTTTAGTAATTTCACTTTTGTAATTTAATTTTAGTAATTTTAGTTACTTTTGTAACTGTATAAAGAAATTTTTGACATAAAATTACACAGTGTAAACTGTAAAATGATTTAACTTACATCGCCACCTCCAACTAATTTAGCTTTTGATTTAAATACAGAATATTCAGCCTCCATAAGCAATTGCATATTTCCAATGGTTCCCCTACAGAATCTTAATTTAGTATTTATCTTTAGTGACAGTTTTTAAGAACAAAAAAAACTTTAGAAAAGCCTAACCTGAATGCTATAATTATTGCCTTTTCAGTTTCACTGACGGCAGAAGTAGCAGAGCATTTGTCATTTTCAGGGTCGCAGACTAATGTAATCTGTTTCAGAACCTAAAATATATTTTATTCTAGCCACAAGAATGTAGCACTCATTGAGTCAGTTTGAAGAACAACTAGACAAAATGTCTAGGTTTTTAAACACTTTTTTAATAAACTTAGCGTTACCTTTACGTCGGGAGCACTTTTTTTAAGACACACTGCTGGATTTGTAGTATATGCAGATGCGCTTATTGCCATCATTTTTCGAGAGAGTGTTTCGTTGTATTCATTCCCTTTTATAATGTCAATTGGGCATTCCCGGATGTCATATATTCGTTGACCAGAAAATTGACATTCTAAACCGCTCTCCGGAACGCAACTACTCGAAGTTGCGCACCACCTGAACTGTTCGTTTTTCTTGACTGAACTACTCTCTAACGTGCAATTTTTTTCTTTTTTCTTTTTTCAAATTTTGAATAAATTTTTTGCAAGTAATAAACAACCAAATTTAAAAACATATTTTGAGATAAAAATTCCAGTGAATTACTTACGCGCAGACTGGTTCGCCGGCACTGTCAATCTGTGAGCTACAAGTTTTACAATCAGTTATAATTTTACATGAGGTAGCCAAGCAGACGGGTACAAGGAAGATTAACAAAATAAGTGGTATCATTAGTTCCTGAAATCAGCTATATTTGTTTGAAAAACAAAACTTTTGACATAAAATTATCTACATTAGTTAACAAAATTTTTTGAAAAACTACAAAAATTGCAAGATTACATTATTTATAGACATGTGTATTGTCACATTAAACAACCAAGAAAAAGTATGTTAAAACTTGATAAGAAAACTTTAAAAATATAAACTTTTGACTGAGACTAATGTATTTATATACATTTTTTTAAAACTACTGTCAGCATTCAAAACTGACTACTGTTTGAAAAAAAAAATAAATTTTGACCAATTAAGAAGACTGATAAACAAATCTTGAGTAATTTTTATTGTTTCTGTTGTTATTTATTCTATTTTAAGCATATTTTCCTCTTATACCATTGTAAAAATCTTGATCACTGTGGTTTCACCACACTAAAAAATGCTGATAAAAATTTTTTTCTAAATTTAATATGAAGTGATTAAAATATTAAATACGTAGAGACTTTTCGATTAATTGTCTAATTGATCGACTGACAATGGTACAGTGCACCAAAGAATAATTTGTATTTTGGAGTTAAACCGCACAAAGTCTGCTAGTTTCAAACTTTTTGTCTAAATCTTTTTCAGTTGAATTAGTCGAATAGGTT